GGGATATGCCAAAATGGGCCCGAGGTCATCGAGTTGAGGAAATTGTAGGTCCCAATGACCAAGGCATTAGAACTCGAAGACAACTAGCTGATAAAGTTGCAAATGTTTGCTTTGTCTCCCAGATTGTGCCCAAGAATATTGAAAATGCCAATTAGGCTGGATGTATTGATAATCGAACGAGTATTTCAGGAGGAACTTTCTTCGTTGGGAACAATTTAGTTGCTTGGCACAACGAAATACAAAATTGTGTCTCTTTGTCTACTGTCAAGGTATGAGTATATGCCTACCAGGGGTTGTTGCACTCAATTACTGTGGATGAAGCAAATGCTCAGTGACTATGGTATCTCTCAATCCACCTTCCTTGTTTATTGTGACACTATGAGTGCTATTAATATTTCCAAGAACCCTGTCCAACATTCAAAAACCAAACATATTGATATAAGGCATCATTTCATTAGAGATCTTGTGGAAGGTAAAATTCTTACCTTAACCTTTGTGCCAACTAAAAAACAACTAGCTGGCATATTCACTAAAGCACTAAATAATCGAAGGTACGAGGATCTTCGACGGTCTATTGGTCTTTGTGATATGATTTGAATAGGTTGTATAGCCTTGCTTCCAAGAGTTGAATGTTTTTGTCTAGTCTATATGCATGTTTTGTATAGACAGTTATCTCATCAGATAACCTCATTTTTCTCTATGTATTCATCTCTTATCTGTCATACATTGTTAGTAATATATGGACTAGCCTTGGATAATCTTTCATTGTGATGTCAAAGGTTTTCCCATCTCTCTCTGATGGCCTCTGAAAAATCATTTTTGAATTTAATGTTGTTTTGGTCCTAATTGATTGATAGTAACTTTACTTACTCTATAATTTGGACCATGTGTCAATTCTCTTCTTTTTGTCCTCTCCCCAAAATCAAAACAAAAAGTCAATTGGGAGAGTGTTTATGAAGAGGGTATTTTCAAAAGAAAGTATATACTATCAAATTGAAAAATCCCTTCATTTGGCCTTCCATGTAATGTCATGTGTAGTGCTTCAAGATCCCCTTCCGTAGGTCATGTATACATTCTCTTAAATATCAATGGTGATTCATCAAAATTTCACCTTTATTCAAATGACCTTGGCATTTCTCAAATTGGTGCCTCACTCAAAGTTTTGCACCAAAGTTAGCTTTTCTTCCAAGGCTTATGCCTTGCTTTTTGCGAGTTTTGTCCATTGTCCATATTATGTAGGAAGTGTTGTTTCTTAAAGTCAATGGATTATTAAAAGCTTGGTTAACTTTGGAAATGCTTTTGAGATTATGTGCTTGGTTATATGAATTCAAGATGGATATCACCAATCTTATCCCCTTACCTTGACACATCACAGTTGCACCTTGAGCAAGTTTTCATCTCTGTATTACTATCTTTGTATGCCCTTGAAGAGTTGTCCCTTGAGAATTGCATTGCATATTATCTTGTCAAACACTTGTCTTATCAATATCTCTTGAAAGCATCGATATTCAAACTATTTTATCCCTTTCATGGCTTATGCTTTAGCTGTAGTTTATTGGTGCAAAGATTCAAATGTTATCTTGATCTCTATCATCTTAATGAGCCATTTTCGATTGTTTGGGTACATTTGTCTATGCCTATGCTCAAATAATGTTTCGATGGTCATATCTTCTTTCTGTTGAGTCATTATCCCTCATCAGATAAATGAAGTTATAATTTAGAATTATGGGGGAGTGTGTTTTCATGAAGCGCATCAATTCTGGGGGAGTTTCCTTTATAGGGGAGTTCAATCACAATGCATGTATCTTTTCGTGTTTACTTGTTGCAAGTATAATTGTTGCTACACTTTGCTTGGGCATATCCATATGATCTAGTGCATATTCTTTATCCGTTGTGCTCCTGTTGTTCTTGTTCTATGAATTTGCAGCAAAGTTGACTATTCAATGCGATTTTTCACCTTGTGTTTGTCTTACCATGACAAAATGGGGGAGGAATTTTTTTGTTGTGCTTCATACCTTGCAAGCCATTTCTTACCCATGATAAATTTCACTTGTTCTTGTCAAGAGTTATTCATATGCAAGTTCATATGCTGGATTCATTCATTGGCTCTTCTCTTGAGTGTGGGTGAGTGAAATAAGTTCTAGGATTGGGGCATTTTGTCAAGGAAAGCCAAATGGAGAGATTGTAAAGTCTAGTCTTAAGGGTTTAGCTTTCCTTGACAAATATTGTATTTGTGTACCACATTCTCAATTTAGTTTTAGACTACATTATTTGATTATGGGATGCTGCTATTGGGATTAAACGTTCAAAGTCGTGGCTCACCTCACTTCAAAAGGTTTGTTTATGCGTGTGCATTTCATATCTTTATTTGTGTTGCATTATGTCTAGTTTAATTGTCTAGTTAGTTTAGCGTGCTGACTTCTAGCTGTCTAGGCACACAAATTAAGACAGCCCGCATGGGCTGACTGACACCTTTATGCTGGTAGTCAGTTTTTGGTCATTGATCTGTTTAGATTTATTTTGCAGCTGACAATTATCCTTAGGATAAGTTGGCTGATGGAAAATCTTATTTCCTTTGGTATATTTGCTTCTAGGGTTGTAGATTGTTCTTTAGGAGGGGAGTTTAGAGTTTATTTTTGGAGAGGGTTGCTTTAAGGTTTTGAGCTTGCATCTTATCCATATATGAAACCCTAGCTGCCAAACCTTCCTTATGCATTAAACACTCAATTATTGTATATTAGGGTTGCATTGTTTTAAGGTTTTGCATTTATGTCTTGGTCTGGTTTTAAGCTTTAAATTCTTTTTTAGACCAAGGTTTTGGATTCAAGTTAGGTTCTTTCTTCAACTGTTTGATTGGAGAATCTGACTGGTCATTTGAATCCATATTTCATGTGCATATCATAAAATCATATTATATTATTGATCGTGTTGATCTCGATGCCACAAGGTGAAAAGCTCAGAAGGAGCTACCACTTAGTGAAGACCGAATGAGTTCATCTCGTGTAAAGTAAGGTTGCACAAAGGTAAAGCTATTCCGTAGATAAGAATCTAGGAATTGAGCTTGTGTGGTCTTTGTATGAACCTTGTTTACACTAGTGGATTGGACTCAGTGGAGAGTCCCCATTTTTTTTAACCCAGATGTGGGTTTTTTCGCCAAAATCATCACGTGCAATATATTGCTTTTCAAGTTTACTTATCTTACGCTTTGCTTGTGATATATGTTTATCATTATTGGCAAACAAATAAGTCCATGCAACTAAGATTGTCAAAGTTAAAATGTACACTGAACTGGATCTTAGTTAACTAGGAACACTTCAGTAAACTGAGCCTTGAATTGACTACTTCCGCTGTGAGTAAACTAACATATTTGATCTTAGTCGATGAGTGTTGCTGACTAGTCAGACAAACACGTATATAGATTTTAAATTGCAGGTTATTCCACCTGGTACCAATTTCACATTCCTCTAACAAGAGATGCTATGGAGATTTTTCTGAAAGTGAAACTCTACATGGGCTCCCTGCCCCTTCATAGAGTCTCACTTTTGAGATTGTGTCTTTTTTTTTTTTGAGTACATCGAAATTTTTATACTAGGGAGAGGGGGAGTTCAGCTAAGTCATATAATGGGCACCCTAATTTGGTATCAAATTTGTGATCCACGAGATTCGAACATAAGATCTCTCACTTCTAAGCGAAGAGAAATACCATTAAATCATAGTACTGAGTGGCTTTGTGACTGGTTTTAACTCATAGATTCTAGAATTTTGGTTTGGTGTACATGAATCTTTTTTCTGTTCACGTGGTTACAAACTTGGTCCTCCTATAAAATATTGGAACAAATTTAAGAACAATGTGGTTTAGTGTTCTGATGGTTAGGCCATTCTTTGTCAACTCTCTTCCCTTAGTATAAATTATTGTAAAATATCCTTTGTAATAGCAAAACAATTGTAAACTTGTAATATTGACACTCTATTTATTGTTTCACCTATCTTAAAGACTAAAAACTAATATTAAAATGCATATGTGTCACTTAGGGTTACGATTTAGTGATATTTCTGTTCACAAAGAAATGTTTGTTAGCCAAAGAAGGGTTATAAACATTGTTTAGGGTTATGACTATGATCAATATTTGGGTTGGAGATGAATTAATGACACATTTACTAATTCATATTCCTATTGAGAGGAATTGAATTGAGGATGAATTAGATCGAGTAGAAATCAAAATTGAATTCTTATGGAAGTTGTTTACTATACTGTCTAGAATCAGAGTAGGAATGATATTGATTCCATAAAAGTTGTTTACCAAATACTCTTGAATCAGATTGTTTTTTTTTTTAGTACAACGATATTTTTACAATAAGGAGGGGTAGTTCGGCTAAGTCATACAATGGATATCCTAATTTGGTATCGAATTTGTCATTCACGAGATTCGAATTTAGGACCTCTCACTTCCAAGTGAAGATGAATATCACAAAACTGTAGTATATAAAAACTTTTTACCTCTTTATTATATCCATAATTTTTTTTTTGTCAAATAATAGATTTTGTTATATTAGATGTTAGATGAGCCACTAGCGGATTTTGAACCCACACCGTCATATAAAAGCTCAACACCTTTTCATTACTGTAGTAAAGGACCACTTGGCTTGATTTTTTTTCCTTAAAAAATACTTATTTTTAGTCACCGTTCCCTAAAGGTTAGTATCCTTGTAAAAATGTTAAGCGAGATAGAATCCTATAGCCACTCAGTATTACGGTATTCACTTGGAAGTGAAAGATTTTATATTCGAATCTCGTAGATGACGAATTCGATAGCAAATTTAACTAACCATTGTGTGACTTTTCTGAATTCCAGCTTCGTTTAGTGTAAAAATATTAATCTACTCAAAAAAAAAAAAAAAAAAAAAAAAAAAAAAAAAAAAAAAACCCTGTATCCAAACGACGCCATTTTACTATAAGTCGGGACCGCCCCAGCCCCCGAGTCTTTCCAAAGTAGAAGCAAAAGACGATTCTGAACAGAAATATACGGAAAAAATAACGTCAAGCAAATTACAGGAAAAATCTCCAACGGTCTCTCTCTCTCAAGGTCGCCGCCAAAAATGGCGGCCGCCAAGAAAAAAACTCCGGCGCCGCCGAACTCTGAGCTAATGAACTCAAGGGTCTGGATCTTTTCCCTCCTACTCACACTCCAATACGGAGTTCAGCCCCTCATCTCGAAACGCTTCACCAGGTACTCCACCCCCTTCCTCGATCCCTAACATTTTCACCCCAAATCATCCATTGATTCTCTGAAACTTGTACGTTTCGTCTGCAATTTCTTCTCGCAGTAGGGAAGTGATCGTAACGTCGTCGGTTCTGACGTGCGAGATAGCCAAGGTTATCTGTGCCCTAATTTTCATGGCCAGAGACGGTAGCTTGAAGAAGGTGTACAGAGAGTGGACTTTGGTTGGTGCGTTGACCGCCTCGGGGCTCCCTGCCGCCATATACGCATTGCAGAATAGTTTGCTGCAGATTTCTTACAAGAACCTTGATTCCCTCACCTTCTCAATGCTCAACCAGACTAAAATCATTTTCACTGCCCTCTTTACGTATTTGATTTTGAGGTATGTGGGATGAACACATTGTAAACTCCGAAATGTTCATGTCGGGTTAAGTAGCTATGGTAGTTTTTAAAGAGCTCTAAGGCATTTGAATATTGATGGTATGGTACCCATTAGACTGGTTTTGGTGTGGTTTGAGCCTGCAATGAGCCTGCAATGTATTGGTTTTTGGTTTCTACTTGATGGATTAACGTAATGTGAGATGATTAGGAGAGTTCTGAGGTGTCCGAGATTACCCATTAGATTGATCTTTGAGTGCAAATGTGTTGTGTGTAGGCAGAAGCAATCGATTCAACAGATTGGGGCGCTCGTCTTGTTGATTATGGCAGCTGTCCTTTTAAGTTTTGGGGAAGGCTCCAAAAAAGGGACTAGTAGCGGCAGTTCTGACCAGATATTGTTTAGTGGGATTATTCCCGTTTTGGTGGCCTCTGTGCTCTCAGGTTTGGCGTCCTCTTTGTGTCAATGGGCTTCCCAGGTAAGCAAAACGTTTCGGTTTTTGTAGTTTGAAGATGCTATTCCCTAGTCCGGTCAATTTAACTTTGCTGCTCTTATATTCCAGGTTAAGAAACACTCATCGTATTTGATGACCATAGAGATGTCTATTGTGGGAAGTTTATGCTTGTTGGCTAGTACCTCTAAGTCTCCAGATGGAGAAGCTATCAGAAAACATGGCTATTTTTATGGATGGACTTTGACGACTTGGGTAATGACCATTATGATATTTGACATTTTCCTTGAGTTTTGAATATATGTTTGACTCCTTTGGGGCTATAGACGGATGAGGAATTTGCAACTACCAAGGGAATTTAGGATAAATTGGTTACAAATGAAGCCCAAAGCATTGGATGGAGGGATTTTAAATGCAGTAGATGATCATTACAATGCATAAACAATTTCAAGTAGTCATTTACAAAGGAGTTTAAATGCATTGTATCTGTCCATTCAAATGCCTCCACCAAAACTTTTGTAGTGCGTTTCTAACTAATTTAACTTAAATCCCTCATCCAAACATACCTGGAGTTTCTTTAATTGCTTAGGAACACACACATGCAATACCCAAAACCACCAAACCATTGGTTTAGTTTCGAAGGCAGATAAAAAAAATTTTTGGATGGTCATGCTGCTCCTCTCTGGTCAGTTGTTATTGTTTAGATATCCGTCTGCATAACATCTGTTTTCCTCTTTCTTTCTTTCTTGGTGTTGTGTTTTTTTTGCTGGCTCTCCTTTGCTGTTTACTTGAGTCTGATTTGTAAGTTGTAACCATAGAAACTATATAGTCCCTGTTCAAAACACAATTATTAGTCGGCCTGTTTTATCCCAGTTGTTCCAATTCGACATTCACCTCTCCCAGACCCTGCGTAAAACGGGAGCCTTGTGCACTGGGTACGACCTTTTTATAGGATTAAATCTGTGGCAGTAATTATCTTACGTTAAGGAAAGTGGTGCATACTGGGGTTTACTTTCTATGTTGTATTTGAAACATCCTGCTTCAAAATAAAATAACTCAAGGAATAAAAGTTCTCTGTACCATCCATCCAAATTATTATTGAGAAGATATAACTTTTTAATTAATAGTACTTGGCAAAGAAAACAAATGTAATGTTATTCTCTGTTAACTATGCGTTGCATGAGTTATGGTGTGCCTTTTCAAATAATAATAATCATTATTTATTTTTCTCAGATCCCAGTTATGTCCAATGCCCTTGGTGGAATTCTTGTTGGCCTAGTCACAAGTTATGCTGGCGGCGTTAAAAAGGTAAGTTTAACAAAATAAGGATTACAAGAGCAGTTGCTCGATGCTCTCAAGCTTACTATTAGCTTTTTTTTGATATTTTGTTGCAAACTGAGGCTGAAAGCGAAGAGAAAGGGTTAAAACTAACATAGTATATTAATTCACTGCTATACTTGATCACTAGAATCAACATGCTACCTACTTTAAGAAAACAATAGCTAGGTTACCTTGATCTTCTTTATTCACGGAACATCTCAGCTGAATAAGTTCTCCGTAGTTCTTAAGTTTCATACTGTTCTTCATTGAAAATTCTTTCAAAATCTGACAAAATATGCCAAATGGTTTGGTAAGTTAAATCTACCCTTTGCCATGCACTTAGAGTTTCTGAGTGATCATTATGGTGAGAATGGCTGGAAGATAACTCGCTCCAGCCATAAACAAATTTCTTATACAGTTTCATTCTTGCAAAGGCCAATGCAGTTTTAAATGTACTTACCGCAGAAGCTCTATCTAACATGGTTGCAGGGGTTTGTTATTGTTTCTGCCCTTGTTGTTACCGCTATGCTGCAGTTCATTTTTGAAGGGAAACCACCTTCACTGTATTGTGTCCTGGCGCTTCCTCTCGTGGCCAGCAGCATTTCGATATACCAGAAGTATCCATACCGTGTTAAAAAGAAAGACGCGTAAGTCCTGTTGCAACATCGGGGGAGTTGTTTTAGCCCCCCTGATCGAAACGGCTTTAAATGGTTTGGACATATTGGAGTTAGTTGATTCCAGAACGGTGGAGAGGTATTGGAATTTATTGATTCCAAATACAATCACGCATTGTTTTCGGGTTAAATATTTGACCCGGGTTCTCATTTGGTTAGATGCCTCTTTGACCGGTGTCGCAACTGATACGAAGGTAATTGTAATGTTTTCTTGTTGTAATAGTCCAACAGATAAATGAAGATTTTTGAGATGATAATTTATCATTGCAAGAAAATTGGTTAAGGTCGTTTTGGACATGTGAAATGAAGACTTACAGATACTTCAATTAAAAAATACGATTATGAAACAGAGACTCATGGGAAAAAAGGTAGAGGAAGACATTGGAAGATATAAACAGAAACTTCAAGAAAAGACATTCAATGATGACCGTTGGTAGGTGATTCATGCGTGTATTATTGGGCCGTTGCAACCTTATTTTAGGCTCCGTCGCCAACTGAGGCCCACTTCCACTAAGAAATGAAAAGTGAAGCGCAAAGCTCCACTCACACACACAAGGCTCTTCACCCGCAGCTGCTCCATCGTACCAAATTCGGAGAGGAGAGAAAATCGACATGGGAAGCAGATTGGGAAGGAGGGTAGTCCACTTCGCGAACCTACCCATCAAGCTTTTGATGCCCAACAATTTCGCCAACATCACAGAAATCGCTCTCAAAACTATCCCATCGGCCTCCAAGATCGAAATCAAGCTCGTCATGGAGTCCCTCTACGGCTTCCAGGTCGACAAGGTCCACACCCTAAACATGGAGGGCAAGAAGAAGAAGCGCAGCGGTCTTCTCATCGCAAAACCCGACTACAAGAAGGCCTACGTCACCCTCAAGGGCCCCCTCTCCCTCTCCCAGGACCTCTATCCCATCGGAATCGTCCAGCAGGACCGCAAGCAGCAGGCGGCCAACCAGTCCAAGTCTGCCGTTGTCGAAGAGGGCGAGACCGAGAAGCATTGGCTTTACGGGAACAAGGAACGGCAGCAGCAGCCGCAGAGCGCTCGCAGGGGTAAGAGCAGCGATAAGGGTTCGGCTGTTTTCGGCGAGGGCGCCGCCAAGTTTCCCTGGAGCAACATGAGGTTTCGCTAGGCAGGTTTGAAGAGATTTTAGGGTTTTTATTTGGAGATTTCAAATTTGTGATATTTTAGGGTTTGATGAATTATATGGCCATTTAGTGGCTATTTTGCTAGTGAACCTCTCTTTGCTAGGACTGCAGCATTTGGCATTCGATTAAAGGAGCATTTCGGTGTTATGTTTATTGTTAATCTTGTCTTATGATGCATTGCGCAGTTATGTGTTTTACTTAACCTGGTAGTTGTTCATAAGGTTTGAAATTGTCGAGGACGGAATTTTAGTGGGATTATTATGACATATGATATGAAAGAAATGTGTTTTGTTTGGTTGGCAATCGGTGTAAGGTGTAAAAAAATGACGGCTTCTCCTCAGCAAGTTTATTATATTTGTCCATAAAAGTGTTTCATCGCCTTGTGTGATCCAGTTCTGAAAATTTGCAGGCTTGTAGTTGTAGCAAAGGATATAGTGAGCTAGGTGTTCTATGGGAGTCAGGATTATTGTAGGGAAAAGTAAGGTGTAATGATAGGAAAACTTCCGACATGTTCTCTTTATTTCTTTTGATGTATAATCGATACATTACGTATAGGTATGCAATTACGAATTATCAACTATCCCCAAGTGTTCGTAAACAAACTAGCTGATACAAATGATGGTCGTGAAGGTGTAACTCCCACATCGTGTGGAATGTCTGTGCCTCCTAGGCTAATGCAGTTTTAGGACATTGACGACCTTTGTATGGAGGTGGTTCTGCGTCTAGATGGGTTGGTTCTTTGTTGGTTGTTTCTAGGTTCATTTTCCTCAACTTTTGTATGGAAAGAGTTCTTGATTTTTCTCCATCCCAAACTCCAACCTGATACATTCTTTTGCTTGTTGCTTATTATCCTTTCATACTCGTGTTGCAGTTCAGAGTAGTCCCTCTGCAGCTCTGCCATCTTTATTTTTACCCTCTCAAGTTCTGCTTTAAGATTTTTAATCTCTGCATCTGTTGATGAGTGGTTACCCTCCTGTTCAGAGTTATCGCCGCTTGGTGATTCCTTACCTTGCATCACTGTCCTCATCTTTACTTGCTCTGAGAACAGAACCTGCACATGTTACATAACCGCTTTCTACAGTAAGAGATGTCAATTTTGATGGACCTCGTTCTAGTTGGCTCTGAGATTATGGGCTCCATGTGTGATAAATGCAATGGTCGCCAAAATCTCAGTTAAGTGTCTACGCCTTTTTGAGGATTTTACATCTCCATTATGATAAGGGTATATATAGTACAGTATTTTCCCTGTTTGTAGGAATGCTATTAGAATTAAGGTTTTTGAAAATTTTCTGTTTATTTGATGATTTTAGGTATTCTATTCAAATGACGTAATTTTTCTTTCATTTCAAAGGGACAACAGTTGAGTGATTTTTGACATGCATCGGTCAATTTAGCCCATACAAGATTTAAATGTCTAATTAGGGTTTGTATTAGAGATTCGGGTTTGAATTTATCTTTGGATGGTCTTTGCTGCTATATATTTAATCACGCTGGTGTAATTCAATTTTTTTGTTTTTCCGGTTACAGTGTAATTCAAATTTCACTAGAGAACTCTTAGTTTGAAATTTGTTCGGTTACTTTGTTATACAATACTTTGTTTCTAGCATGTTTTGTGTGAGATTGAAGTCTTTCCTTCGAATTGCTAGATTATTCAACCCCAGACCTGCCAGAGCCCCATATCATGTTTTCATCACTTAGCCGGACGCCTATATGTTTACACTTTGAATTCAGTGTGCATAAAAAGTGTGCTAAGCAACAAAAAATGAGGCACTTATTTCAATTTGTGGTAGTAGTTAATGTTTGTTTTTTCGTTTTCTCTTGCCATGTATTTTCATCTTCTCAAAGGTCTCTAATTAGCTTCATTGATCATGCTGCTTATAAACTACAAGTCCCTTAGTCTCTGGTTGGTAGAGGTTCTTGGGTTACATTTCGTTTTCCTGTTACTACATGATAAACTTTAAATATACATATTTTGAATTTAATTGGAATGCAATTGTTTAGATCTGTCATGGTAGAAGGTCTAGATTCCTTAAGGATATAAGTGATATCATAACATTTTAGACTAGGTTTCAGCATGGACCAATTCGAAACTTGAAAAATGTTACCTGGACAATGGTTCTCATAGGCAGTCGATCATTTTGTGCAGCATGCATGCATGCATCAAGTGATAGTTTATCGCAGTTCATTATTCTGCATAGCCTTCTCCTGTCATGCTCAGGCAGCGTAGGATGAGTCTGAAAGAAAAAGGGTTAAGATTTTAGGTCATAAATAAGGTAAAACTAGAGAAACAGGTGAGAAGGTAACCTTTAGATAGGTATCGATGGCTCTGTAAAGACCATCATCACATGTTCGAGCATTTTCTGGCAGTAATTCCGCCATTACATGAAACTTGGTTATGGAGAGTTTCGGGTCTCCTGCAATCTCTGATAGGTAGTTGTCTAAGAGCTTACTAACAGCAATTTTACCAGTCTTCTGTTGCTGATCTTGCTGCTCATGCATCAAGAAATATTCCACAATCCGTTGCACAACTTCAATGTCGTGCATTGTGCATTCTTCAGGTGAACTGTACTACACATTATGATAATTAACAAGAACATGAAGGTTGGTTATGCCAGTGATATCTATTGTATGTTTCCCATTCATAGTAAATAAAGAATGCAGAATACTCACTCAACCAGTTTCCCTTGATCTGCATTGTAGTACCTAGGAATCAGCAAATCGTTCACATTGGCATCTTCTAACATCATCCCGGCTCTCTTTTCAAGCTCTGAAATCAACGCTGGTGATGCAGAGTACAGCATGGCCAACTTTAACATCCGCAATAAGAACTTACATGGAAGAGCTTTGTTTTGAGGAGGTAGTATGCTTACTATGCTTTCAATAATTGCTTTTTGCTCCTTTCTGTATTCATAACCCCCGTCCTCCTTCCTCCTATTCAATACACTGAACTGCATGTCATTTTTTCCAAGCCCATATCCTCTTAGTCCTTCAAACTCCATATCCACGCCGGTCAACCATCTTTCTGCATAGTGCACGATACATTTACCCACAAACTCTGGTCTGTTACTCTTTGCCTTTATTGCTGCTATAGTCCTCATGAAATGATCTATTCGAAAGGTAGACACTTGGTTAAGCCACCAACCTTCTTGACCGTCTGCATCCCCAATGGCGTTTTCTCTGGAAGCCTTCCAAGCGATTGAGTCACAGCAGCGTCTGACAATTTGAAGATTTTCAGCCCACGGAGAGAGAGTTTCACAAGATTTAAGCACAGCAATGGTGTCTTTCCGTGAAGAAAGGACAACCAAGGTGAGAAAAGCTTCAGTCTTAGAAATGAGATTTCCATCCTGAACTTCTTCAGTCATTTCTAGAAATTCCGAGGCGCATCTTAACGGAGCTATATTGTTAGGGTTCAAGTCCACTGGAAGACCATAACAGAATTTTAAAATGATTTCAAAGGTTTCTGATCCGCCGGGGAAGTTTTCAAGCTTGAGGTCATAACCGCAATTTGAAGGTGAAGGATGAAATTCCAATCGACCTATGTAGCCACATTTCGATACCAAAGGATACTGCAAAAACAAAGAGAAATGGACCATGAACTTATTGACTAGTGTGTAGATGTGTGTCCAAGTTATGTCTCGAGCCGTGCATGCTTGTATTGCTCTGTAAGTTTACCTTATGGACGTCGAAGGTGATGCCTTGAACTTGAATGGTTAGGTCTGTCGGGACATGAGAATTGATAAACCTGCACGAATCCACCAAATAAGTATGTCGTTACTCGTTATTGAATACATCCAAAGTTAGAATTTAGACAAGACATTCTCTCCTTGTACCATGAGTGTTGTTTCTTTTCGAAGCTACCGGCTATAGTGATGTGTTTGGTAGGAACAACGATGCGCTGGTCTTGAAGTTCGTCCGAGCCCTCGTAATCGGCCTCGGCCTCTGGAATTTGCGGTGGATTTAGGGACATGTTCACGGCGACGCTTTTGGCCGGATATGTTATGAGAGACGGTAGAGAGGTTTGGATGGAATAACATGATATAAGAGAGTGGGGACGTGATGTGAATAAATGAATGAGAAGTAAGTATGTGGTCGTGAGAACGTAGATCTACTCCATATGAGGGTTGGTGGAGTGCCGTTCTCTAACTGTTGCTTGCTTGGGACTAATAAATTTCTAAATGTTATGTTGTTTGATGGAGAATGTGAGTTTATCAGCTCTGACAGCTCTATTGGAAGCGACCAACAGATGGTTGTGTGGCTATCAATATAGGAGGAGGAGTCTCTCTCCTCTTAATCTCTCTTCCCTTCTATGCCTCCTATTTGAACGGCTACAGTTAAGCAACGTCAACATCTTATATTGATTTTTATAGAGATAAAAAGACAAAAAACAAAATGTGAGAGGAGAGGAGAGAAGAGGATGAGAATAGGAAGGGAGAGAATCTAACTCCAATATATTAGTAAGAATCGGGGGACACATTTTTTTGACAAACTTTCCTACTACCCCATTCCACACACATATATAGGTTGTTTAGTCAAAATGGTCCTTAAAATTGGCATAACTCCTCACTTCGGTCATTGAGATTTGAAATTGATAGAGCTAGTCCTTGAGTTTGTCCATCGTCAATCATTTTGGTCATTTCGTAAAAAAATCTCTGTTAAATGAGGACCAAAATGACAAAGTTATCCTCAATTGAATAAACAATGAGACAAAATCATGTGACAAAAATTTAGAATATTTTTTGTCATTTTCTCCTTATTTAACAGAGACTTCCCATAGAATAACCAAAATGATTGATAGTGGACAAACTCAGGGATTAGTTCTATCGATTTTAAATGTCAGAGATCAAAATAAAGAGTTATGTCAATACCTTGTATAACTTTTGTGAATCTCATGTTTAAAGAGAATGGTTGTAAGTGTTGATGTAACATCTGATCTACTTAAAGGTTCCATGTGGATGCCTTGTGGATTGTATTTAACTTGTCCAGATCTACGCCAACAAGTTGTACTAATTTCCTTTTCAACAATACAGCCACATAAAAAACAGATAAGTCAACCGACCCCATGTCAAGCAAGAAATCGGCACACCGCTGAAATCGCCACCATCACAATATATTCCCAAAAATAAACTTTCCTATCAACAAATTTAACTCTTAATCTTCTACTTAAGGTCATATCTGAGAGTTAAGGTGCTTGGTAGAGTTGGAATCTGGGTGTCGAATGTTTAGTCCGGTGATGGTTTGCCAAAAATTTGATAAAACAACAACAAAGCTTTATCCAACTAAGTAGGGTTGGCTGTATGAATTATACAACGTCATTGCGCTCAATTATTTCACATGCAATATAATTAAAGAAGAAGCGGCAAGAAATCGAGAAAAGTAATTGGAGAATTGGTAATTTACGTTTTAATACATTATTTGCTCTTGCCATATCCCGAAAGTGGATGGTTTGGATTTTTTGTATCGTCCGGATTGACGCCACTTTGGTTTGTTGTGTTTGTTATGGGGCCGTAATATATGGATTCGAAGAGAATGGCGAGAAGAATAAGACTAATGGTAACCATGAGCCTGTCAAGTTTAAGGTAAAAAACGATGTATTCAGCTTCCGAAACAACGTTTTAATGTTTGTAATTAAAATCGGACTTTTGGTTTTTCGTCTGATTAATGTCATTTGCTTTCATTTTAATTACCTAAATCTTTTGAAATGGCGGGTGGTAATTTGTTTATTTAATCATTTGGTTTCTCATTTGTAATGATCTTTCAAGGTTTTAATCAATTAATCAAATTATTCTTTGGGATTTCTATCAAACTGGTGCACTCCAGAACTTTATCCTTCAAGGATTTACGCCTGTAATCCTTACTAGCTTCGTACTATGTCAAAATCTGACACTTTTTCATGGTATTTCAATAACTACCTATGGAATTAGGTTGACATTTTTTATGTTGGTTGACCAAATGCATTCTTGATTAGACTTGTAAACGGGTCGGTTTTATTAGGTTTGCTCGATTTCAATCAAACCCATTAACTTAACGAGTCGTCCAAACCTAATTTCTTAAGCTAATGGGTCACCCATTAACAATTTTTTTAATTTAAATTTTGCAGAAATGGATTAAAAGTGAAAAAGTTAAAAGAAACGTAGAGCGGATGTTCGATGAGGCAGAAGTTCTTCCATGTTTACTTGCACAGTTTGCTGGTGGAGAATAATGGTTTTATTTTTATTTTTCAAGGATCGATACATGTGATGAGTTCCAGTCAAACATTGTAAAGCTTCCCAAACAAACACCAAAATTCAAAATCTTCCCACTCTCTTGGTCCTAATCTGCACAATAAAAAAACTCCAACCATCAAATAACTCAAAATTTTCAATTTTTATATAATTGAAAAATAAATATTTGATATAAATGGATGAAGAAAATGAAAAATGGGAGTGCTTCCTGGCTACTTTCTCTCGATGGTCAACAAGTGCTTCTTGGCCACCGGTCTGATATGAATCAACCTTAGATACCCTATCTCAAACTTGCAAGTAGCTTAGGCAATTGGAATGGAACAATGGCAGAAGGAGGAAGAAGAAGTTGAGCTCCCAATATTTTTTTGTAATAATATTTTTTTAATTCAAATGACCGTTAGTCCCACAAGCTCCATGTGAGCCTTTAATACAACTTCACAATTCCACTAATGCCATCTGGCACTAATACTAATTATCTAATTAACAACTAAACTCCCATCTTAACCTCTACTAAGTGATTAAGCTAATTACTTATTACATTTCATATCATTACCCCTCCCTTGAAGAACAACCTTATCCCCAAGGTTTAAAAAACAAAATCTGGAAATTTGGTAGTGAATTCATCAAAGTCTTCCCAAGTGGCTTCATTGGTTGTCAAACCCTCCCAAAGCACCAAGACTTGAACTCTTGCAACATTTCCTTCTTGTACATGCGCCTCTGCAACACTTCTTTTGGTTTCTTAGCTTCCAAGTTATCTGTGACTAGGTCAGGTAAAGCAACAATAGGAATGGTTTGAGAACCCAACTTCTTGTTCAAGCAGCTCACATGGAAAACAAGATGAATTTTTGTGCCCTCTAGAAGCCTGAGTTTATATGCTACCTTGCCAATTCTCTCCAACACTTCAAATGGACCATAGAACTTAAGGTGCAACTTGTGAAAGGCATGGGAGTTTAATGACTGCAACTGATAAGGTATTAATCTCAAATATACCAATCTCCCACAACAAATTCTCTCTTAGTTCGATGTTTATCTGCTTGATGCTTCATCCGAGTTTGAGCCCACTCCAAATTAGATTTCAGCAATGCCAGCATCTTATCCCTTTCCAGTAAAGCTTGTTCCACCACTTCTAATTTAGCTGTGCCCCTTTCATAGGTAGTAATGAGTGGAAAATGAATACTATAAACAACTTCAAAGGGAGTGAGTTTGGCAAATGTGTGGTATGAGATGTTATAACTCCACTCAGCCTAAAGAGGTTTCTAAGCACCGGTTCATAACTTCAGTTTATCCATCACTTTGGGGATGGTATCCATAACTCATGCTCAGTTTGGAGCCTTGCAATTTGAAGAACTCTTGCGAGAACTGACTGAGGAACACATAGTTTCTATCACTGACTGATGCTATGGAGTTTAAACACATGGTCCACAAATAGCTGTGTACGGAAGGGATATAGCAACAAAGTGGGCAAACTTAGATAATCTACCTACCACAACCATGATCACTGTCTTGCCCTTGCAGTTAGGTAACCTCACAATGAAATCTATGCTAATGCTAGTCCATATTTTCTCTAGAATGGGAAGAGGTTGAAGTAAACCTGGTGGACCTATGGTTTCATATTTATTTTGTTGACAGATAGCACGCTTAGGTACATATTTCTTAATATCTTTCTTCATTCCTTACCAATAAAAGAACCTCTTGAGCCTTTGATAGGTTTTGAGCACCCATTGGTGACCAACAGTAGGAGTGTAGTTGTAAGATCCCATATCGCCCAGAGGTGATGATCCTATAAGCCTTATATGTACATATCCCATCCCTTTAGCAACGAGGCCTTTTGAGAGCTCACTGGTTTCGGGTTCCATCGAAACTCCAAAATTCAACGAGTTCGCGCGAGAGCAATCCCATGATGGGTGACCCACTGAGAAGTTCTCATGTGAGTTCCCATAAAAAAAAACCATGAGGGCGTGGTCGGGGCCCAAAGTGGACAATATCGTGCTACGGCGGAATCGAGCCCTGGATGTGGTGGGGGCCCGGGCTGGGATGTGACAATTTGGTATCATAGCTAATTCCCGGTCAGATGTGTGCCGACGAGGACGTTGGGCCCCTAAGGGGGTGGACTGTAAGATCCCATATCACATAGGGGTGAGAATCCTGTAAGCCTTATATGTACATATCCCCTCCCTATAACAACGAGGCTTTTTTAGAGCTCACTAGCTTTGAGTTCCATCAGAACTTCGAAGTTAAGCGAGTTCACGAGAGAGCAATCCCAGGATGGGTGACCTACTGGGAAGTTCTCGTGTGAGTTCCCATAAACAAAATTGTGAGGGCGTGGTCGGGGCCCAAAGCGAACAGTATCGTGCTACGATGGAGTCAAGCCTAGGATATGGTGAGGGCCCGGGCCGGGATGTGACAACAATGGTGTTCCTCCAAGATTTTGGACTTCCAACTAGAGGTAGGGCATAGAACAATTCTGCCCTTGTACTTCAGAAACCCATTGTCAATGTGAAATTTGCTTAACTAGGAATTAGTGCCTCATGAAGGATTTGTAATGGAGTGTGCCACCTCTTGTGACTTATTTTTAACAGCCATCCAAAATATGGATATGTGATAGCCCTACACTCCAGCATATTAAGTGATACTTCCACAGGCACATCAGAGAATTCATTGGGTGTTGGAACCCTAGATAAGGCATCAACAACCACATTATCTTTGCCATGTTTGTACTGAATCTCATAATCATAACCAAGCAATTTTGAAACCCATTTTTGCTGGAAAGCAGTGTTAACTCTATGTTGCAAGAAATATTTAAGTCTATTGTGATCAGTCTTAATGATAAATTGTCTTCCTTGCAAGTAGTTCTGCCACTTCTTTATAGCATGCACTATAATAATGAGTTTTCTCTCATAAGTAGAA